CAGAATAGAAGCCAGGAAACTAAAAGAATGAAAAATTTTCCATGTTTAGCTGTATGTGAATAAAATAAAACTTATAAATATTACGAGGAATCCTTATGAAAACATAGAGTGAAGTTTTAGGCTTGCCAGCTTCCATCAACAGGATATCTTTACAAATTTTAGCGAAACAATTGTATCTAAGAGATCGATTCAGTACCACCAAACGATCCAGAAAATAATTATCACTAACCTGCTTTCACTATGAATTATGCCATGCCGTAGCATTGGTTGTCAAAATTGAAATATATATACCAGAATAAATAAATTAAACCATCTAAACTCTACCCTCACAGTTGAAGGAAGAATTCTGACGCCTCATGATGGAAGCTGAGGTTTTTAGGAAATCACAAGACTGAAGCCTCTTCTAACAACTGGAGAAACAATTAATATAGGTATATGGAATGTTCGGACAATGTGGGAGACTGGGAGGACCAATCAAATAGCTGTGGCAATTAGGAGATACATGACGGTTCTCGGAACCAGCGAAACCTATTAGACAGAAAAGGATAGATTCGAAAGAGTCTTTGTTATTTCTGGTTATGAAGAAAATGCTCCGCACACAGAGAGTTGCTCTGGTGCCGTCCAAAGAAGAACGAAATGCACTTATTGAGTGGGAATCTCACTGATCCAGGATCATCGAAGCATCATTCAAAACAAATAAGAAGGGAATTACAGTGAACGTTATCCAATGTTATGCACCCATCAATGATAGCAATGACGATGATAAAGATCAGTCTTATGGGAGGCTGCAATCGATCATGGAGAAGTGTCCAAGAAAGGACCTGACTATCCTGATGGTAGATCTAAACGCCAAAGTCGGAATTGACAACAACGGTTATGAAGATATCATGGGACTACATGAACTGACTGGGAGAAAGGAACGAGAATGGTGAGAGATTTTCAAATTTATGTGCATTCAACAAATTGGTTATAGGCGGCATAATATTCCCATACAAACGCATACACAATGCTACATGAGCATCACTGGGTTACACTACACAGAACCGGATCGATCATATTCGCATAACCAAACTATTCAGGTCAACAGAAGAGGTGAAAACCAGGAGAGGAACTGATATAGCTTCAGATCACCACCTAGTTGTGGCCAAGATGAAACTAAAGCTAAAGAAGCATTGGACAACTGGAGAAACAGCATTATGAAGGTTCAATACAGCCTTCCTTCGAGATACTAACAAACTCAACGAATTCAAGATAACTCTCAACAACAGGTTGCAAGCTTTATAGGATCTAATGAAAAAAGAAGAAACTATTATGGAGGACAACTAGGAAGGGATCAAAGGAGCACTAACTTCAACGTGTCGAGAGGTTCTGGTCTCAAGAAGCATCATCGTAAGGAATGGATATCCATTCAAGCCCTGTGCAAGATTCAAGCAAGCGAAATCACGGAGACGGCTATTAACAACAGTTGAACAGGAACAGAGAAAGTAGAGACACGGACTGAATACACTGAAGCGAACAAACAAGTGAAGAAGAACATTAGAACTAGGAAGCTGAAATACTTGGAAGACCTGGCAACGATAGTGGAAAAGCTTCAAGAAAAGGAAATATGCGACGACAATGTGACACAACAAAGAAACTGGCAGGGAAATATAGTAAACCAGAGAGACCGGTCAAGGACAAAGAAGGCAAGCCAATCACTGAGATTTAAGGACGGTGGAACAGGTGGGCAGATGACTTTGAGGAACTCCTGAATAGGCCGGCTCCAATGAATCCACCAGCCACTGAAGCAGTGCACACAGATCTCTCTATATCTGTCACTCCATCAACGATCGGAGAAATCAGGATGGTCATCAGACAAATCAAAAGTGGGGAAGCAGCAGGACCTGACCGTATGCCAGTTGGAGCACTGAAGCTAAACATAGAAGTAACTCACCGCTATACATCAACTTCCTTGATTATGAGAACACATTTCACAGTGTGGATAGGATAACATTGTGGAAACTTCTTCCACACTATGGAGTACACGAGAAGACCTTCAACATTATCTGGAATTCATACGACAGACTGCACTGCAAAGTCAACTGACAGACGCATTCCAAGTGAGGACCGGAGTCGGACAAGTCTCCCTACTCTCCTCCTTTCTCTTTATCCTTGTGGTTTACTGGATTATGAAGACCTCCACACGTGATGGGAAGCACGGAATAAAATGATGTGTTAGACGGAACTAGACGATTTAGACTTTGCAGACGACCTGGCTCTTCTATCCCATACACACAAACAAATGTAATTCAAGTCACACAGTGTAACAGCAGCAGTCTCTGCATTAATAGGCCTCAACATACACAATTTAGAAAGCACAATCCTGAGGTATGACACAGAGAACACCAAACCATTCACACATGATGGAGAAACTCTGGAAGGGGTGGAAACTTTTCTGTATCTAAGTAGCATCAGCGACAAATGTGGAGGATCTAATGAAGATGTGAATGCAAGGATTGGCGAAGCAAGGATAGAATTCCTACAGTTGACGAACACATGGAACTCCAAACAACTGTCAACCAATGTAAAAGTCACAATCTTCAATAAGAAAGTCGAGACGGTTCCACTGTATGAAGCCGAAACATGGAGAGCTACCACAACCATCATCAAAACAGTACAAGTATTTATAAACAATTGTTTACTCAATATGCTGAATGTTTGTTGGCAAGTTACCATCAGCAGCAGCCTAGTGTGAGAGAGAACAAACCAGGTTTCAGTTGAGAGGGAAATCCGGAAAATACGTTGGAGTTAGTGGATAGGACATACATTGAGGAAATCATCAGATTGCATCACGGTGCAAGCTCTAACTTGGAATCGTGTAGGGAAACGGGAAAGAGGAAGGCCAAAGAACACACTGAGACGAGAATTGGAAGGAGACATGAAAAGGATGAATGGAAACTGGAAACAATTGCCCAGGACAGAGTTCGTTGGAAAGTGCTGGTGAGCAGTCCATGTTCCCCCACGAAGGGTAACAGGCGGAAATAAGATATATATAAAACTTATTTTGCTAAGAATAATGAGCAAAACCAAGCTGTTTAACAATCCTTTTACAAAGGTTCTTTATAGTTTTGCTAAGATTAAATCTATAATTTGAAGATCGCTTCCGCTGAGTGGTGACATTAGCCAGAAAAACATTAGAAAACAAGAAGAGTTGAACAAACAGATAGTTCGATTCATTTTAAGTGGTGTAAACCGAGGACCCCATATATCCAGTTTATGTCGTCTCATGCGATCATTCATTATGTTTCATTCCTAAAATAATTCTACAAATTAATATTAATCAGTGTTAAGATCTAGTTTCAAATTGAACTAATTTCCACAAGCCATCCAACACAATTAACTTCAGAACTCTTGGATTAAGAACTTTCCGCTGATAAGTTTGAGCGTATAGTAACCGGTAAAGATGACAAGTAGTCTAATGGGATAGTGAATATGTGTCAACTGAGATGGTTGGGTCATGTATAACGTATGTTCAACCATCACTTAACTCCAAAAGTGATGTTTTCTAGGGTAGGAGTGGATTGGAAGAAATCTGGAGGCACTTGAATCAAGATTTAACATTAGTTCATAAAATCATTGACTGCTGGATTGAGCCTTGTTGTTAGGTACAGAATTCCTAATTTTTGTCTTCACAATTAATATAACTAATGATTGAAGAAAATGATACGGTTGACAATCGGTTGCAAAAGAGCAGGTGCACTCATCTTTTGTCTTTTCTTAGATTTTGGGTTTTAAAACTGTTATATACTTTAAACTCAACTAGTTGTTTCTGTCTTCTAGAATTATATTGTCTGTCTTTAATGTTTTCCACTACTACTAATACTGTTACTAGCAGTAAAACTAGTACTCTGACACCCTCTTGATATTATCATCTAACTATGCTGACATAGCAACCTGAAAAGTTGCTTAAAATTGACCGACTGACGACCTAGTACAGGCATATGATCGAAATGCTAAAATCAATACAATTGCTAGTGTAAACAAGTCATTATGACTAAATGAGTGTTATTGAACATTACACTTTTAATTGGTGAACTTTTATGAAATGGTATGGATGACGTGACTACAATCTTCAAGTAACCGACAAAACATTCTAGAATAATTTCTATCTCAATTTTCACTGTTATAAGGGAAAACCTCATTTTGTACACTGGATATAGAGGTGTTCGTTCATCAGTTTGTCCAAAATCAGTAAGATAACATTAAACTGACAATATTATTTTTCCTACCAGTGACAATGTGATAGATTTGAAAATGAAACAGGAAAAACTATTATGACAAATTAATGTTTAGTACTTTAAATAATCAAAGTTTCCAAGAAATATTCAAACTAGATATAACTTTCTGATGTATGTGATAATAATTGTAAAGTTATCACTCTAATTACAAATAGATTAATACACTGTATTGAGTTTAAACTTAGTTGAACATTTTGTTGCCAAGTCATTTTGAATAATGATAATAGGAAATTAATTCTGCCGGTTACGAGCCATATAGAATCTAAAATCGGTACCCTGATTTCTAACTTGAAACGTAATTGACTAATTGACTTAATTAATTAAATCATTAAAAATTAATTATCATCACAAAATGTGCATTGAATGTTTACTAACAAAAAAAGTGAAATTAATTAATGAAATTTCGTTCCTATAATAATACTGATAAGCTTTGTAGGAATACTAGCAAATCTTTCAGTTTTCTCATAACATACAAGAAGTAATAATAATTATTATATTCATGTATCTCTCTTTTGTAATAAGTGACTCAATGGTATCACATACATATTTAGCTAAATATTGAAATTAGAAAATTATAGCACTCATCTGCTCAATTTAGAAAAATTTTATCGCAATAATTGTTATTCCATTGTTGATGTTCACCAATAGAAAGCTACCTTTGCAAGGGATTTAAAAAGCACACCACTGGATATAGAAACCTAATAGAAAATGTTTTTTTCTCACAGTATTGAATTTTTTCTAGACAGGATACTTGATTATGATTCAATTCCATTTGACCTATTTCCGAATTCTGTTCTGCTTAAACACGTTTCAGATTGTTGTTCACTTAAATAATTTGTTGATGTTTGCATATTGGATCGTTTTGAATATTTACAAAAACACTGATTAATGGTTTGAATAAGATAGATTTGTAATGGGCGTACAATAAATATAAGCGTACTTGGATTAATGCAACTATTCAGTGTTACAAGCCATAAACCAATTAAATGAGTCGTACAATCAATTTGATAAAGTATCCATCGATGTATACCAAGAAAGTAATAAATTCTGTCATATGAATGCGTTATTAAAAACATTGTTTGCATAATACATGTAGCTATTGTTAAAGACTGAGCAATTTTACGATATCTTTTTTGTTTACCATAGGATACAGTTAATTTATGACTTGATATTTTACGTGTCCAACTGTTGTTGGTACTACTATTAATACTGATAGCAGTACTAAAACTATTATTATTATAATAATTATATTGATGGCGAAATGTTGTACTTTTCAACACTCCTATAACTTTTCCATACACACTGACAGTTAAAACACATGGAAATAAATAAGTAAGACATGGCCACAATATAGAATCCACTTTCATTAATATATATATCCAGTTTTTATCATATAATATAGTATCATAACATTTCTGATCACGATATTGTAATAATAATGGATTGATAGCGATTAATATTAATGAGTAAATTGAAATACTTGTATATGATAATGTTATGTAAATATTTTGACGTAACTGATATGTACGACTACAAACAACAGCTCCTAAACGATCTAAAGCTGTACACATCATATTACTTAAACTTAGTAATACAACCAGCCAAAATAATGTGTGACTAAACCACACGTAACATAGTACACTATCAATAATTATGTAACCTGTATACCAACGTTCAGATTTTAATATTTTTAATAAAGCAAATGTACAAATAAGACAATCAAATACACATTGATTACATAATAGTAGTGTTGTTAAACGTGATCCTAACTTCACATTAAGTAATCCATGTAATACAAATAAGTTTAATGGTATCCCAATTAATTGAACAATAATTGCAAAAAATTTTATATTGATAAATAAAATCATTTTAAATGATGAATTTGTAGAATTGATTGTATGTAATTGACTACAACTTATGTTTAAAGTATCCATTTTTAATTTGAAAATGTCATTTATTTTATCTTTGACGATAACACTATCTCCATTGATCTTTTGATGAAGAAAGTAATGCAATTAAAATAAAAATATGCATGATCTTTAACATTTTAAACAAATAATTTTTAATTAGTTATTTGTGTGCAAATCTCATACTTTTTATCATTGTAAACATGAGTTCAGTAGAATTTTTTTAAAGAAAATAAACAGTGAAACTTAGTTGATAGTTTATAACATTAGAAAAATATCGCTATTTTTCATTGGTTAACTAATTTCATATTGTCGTTAGTTTTAAAATCGTATTGGTTTAAAATTATGGCAAACTTTATTTATGGTTAACCAAGAGGTAGTAAATAGAATATTAGAAAAGTTTCAGAACACGATAAGACGAATAATGTTAGTGTAACTGAACTCTAATATAGTTCAATATTTTAGTGATAAACAATTATTATCAGAATGGGTTTTGTGGAGATTTTTAGAAATTCCACAGGTTGAAATCATGAGTCAATTGAAGCTAGACCACCATGGAAAACCTGGAAGCACTGGACGACCGTTTCGTCCTAGTATGGGACTCCTCAGCAGTGCACATCCACGATCCCGTACCCCGTGGGATTTAGAAGATACTTCAGAAATTCTAGTGAGAAGCCGTTACCAGTGGAGTTCAACCAGGTCTGTTGTGAGATATCAGCTCACTAAAGACAATGGTGTACGGCGGCGCAACTTCGTGGATTGGTTGAAGTTAGAGATTAACACCGTTGGATGCCGGCTCAGTGGTCTAGTCGTTAAGTGCGCGCGCGCGAAGCCAGTAGGTCCTGGGTTCGAATCCCGTGGGGTGCGGGATCGTGGATGTGCACTTCTGAGGAGTCCCATACTGGGACGAAACGGCCGTCCAGTGCTTCCAGGTTTTCCATGGTGGTCTAACTTCAATTGACTCATGATTTCAACCTGTCAAACAATTATTGGTATTGATTATTATAAAAAAAATGACAATTACTTTTAAAACTGATTTCTATCCACCAATTGTGTTTAAGTTAGAATGAGTAAATTATATTTATACATGTAAAAAAAGTTTATGGTTACTCATTTTGTAACTAGTTTTCATCACAAAATGATATCAGCTAGAGAATTATTGCAACTTAGTGGATGTTAAACAACCATTTTACTTTAATCTGAGACAACTAATTAGTGCGCATATATTTTACAAACAATCTAGGTTACAGCCTTTATATCCTTAAAAAAGAACGATGTGTTGAAACCATTTAGTTAGGTAACAAAAGTTTACATTTCCAACTTTATACGTGTGTAAACATCAAGTAACATTTGATTTGTAACAGTGATTCAAGCCTTTATTATTCTTATCACAACTAGTACACCTGTCATCACACTACAAATTTACACCTTTCCCTTATTTATGTAATCTATTCCACTGTCATTATTGACTCACAAACTGTCTTGATTGGTTAAATAATTTCGTATATGCATATAAATATTACTGTATATTAGAGTAAAGCCTGATGAGGATCTTAAAGTAAACATTAAGTAAATGTTTAACTTTAATGTGAATGGTAAGTTGATTGAAAAGAAAAACGATTCGTTGATAATGACATCAAGTTAGCATTTCTATTTAACATATCGTACCATGAATTATTTGTACATATTTTTTTAAGGCAGAGAAATAACTTACAAACATAAGCAAAACGCTGGTGTAAAAAGTTAACATATACTTACCAAACGAGGAAACAGGCTGCTTTCATTTTCTCGGCTTTTAGTGCAGTAATCGTATTCGCTGTAATTATAATAATATACCGCTTACTACCTTTTCAAGTATCTCCAATTACATAAATTTTTCCAGAGAAGTCCATCATATATTCGATAAGTATTAACGGCCTTAGTACAGAAAATATTTTTGGAAAAATAGAAACACAAACTCTCCCTCACCACGTAACAAAAGTAGTGATAACTATCAATAACTTTTAGTGTATGTCTTTCTATTTGCAAGTGACTTATCTTAGACGGCATAAATAGTAACTTCCTTAGTGTAACGATAAATAAAATGCTAAAAAGATCGGTTACAACGAGCTCTACTACTTCAAACAATCCTCAAGTTTTTAAGCTTTCCAATTCTAAAATAATATTTCTGTTGGGAATAGAACTAAAGAGATGAAGAACTCTACCTTTTATATTCCATAAGGTAGCGGCTTGTTCTTTACAGTACCTAGATTTCAAGTAATCGTTAGTAGATACGAACTTCATGTTACTCGCTTTGGGTAGTAATATATTGCCAGTGCCCCTCACGTAAAGCGTGGCTGAGGACAAAGTACATAAACCTTTACTTAGTTAATGAATCCCATTATGCTAATATGATTTTTGAAGCAAGCATTCTTGTCATTATTAATGTGAATCATTACATATGTGAGTTTATTTCTTAACCTGTTCTGAGGTGCTTAAACTTTTAGTGAATTTATCGGAACACTTTACCTCCAATCAGAAGTACCACCCATTCTTTTTTCGTAAACAAGTCATCAGATGTTTTGTTTCCGTGTTCCATATTTTACATCTGATAATATTCCTTTAACAAACCTGATGATACTCTCAAGTTATTTTGACTTGATTTGTAACTCAATAAAAGTTCTTACTACAGATCCTTTGTTGGGATAGAATACAAAACTTCTCTCTTGTGATAACCACATTAACTTTTGGGTTAGAGACTGTAACCTGTCACTTATGAAATCCAGTTAACTTATTACATGGTCACCGTCTTTCAACTTGATTAGTATACATATATTCTTACAGTCATCTCACAGTCTGTAGATTCCCATTAGAAATTTACAATAAGTATTATGGAGAAACGGTAGATAGACTGTAAACTAATTCCCAAACTAACTTACAAGTGACCATAGAATTCGACTTGTAAATATCAGACCGTTTACTCAATAAACAAACACGATATCAGTGCTTCAATAAGCATAAAAAACAATGCTGTAGTCGAACTAAAATGAGAACAAAATTATTGAAAACTTTTTGAGTAAATTGCCGAATCATTTTTGCTATTCAAGCTTACTGTTGTATCAGTTTCCAAACAGCACGGTGAATCGATTACTAGTTAAAGAAGAAAGTTTTAGCAAGTGGTATGATATACTATTGGTATGAATTAAAAACAAATTGTTACATTCACAAACTGGAATGTGACAAATCAAATACTTGATATAAATTATGTAATCTCGTTGCTCAACTTCACGCCGTTTGTTTTACGATTTAAAATATGAAGTGATATATTGTAAACCATTGATCGTATTTGAAAAAATGTCATAACACCTAAAATCCTGATTCGTTGTTATGTACGAAAAACAACAGTGGCTAGCATTCATTCAATAGAACAACTGTTGTACTCATTTGTTTCCCGATTGATGAAATATGGTAACATTATTATTAACTAGTTAGTATTATCTGTAACCAAGTCAACACGCCATAAGTGTATGCCGAATTCAATATTACTTTGTCAAATAACCCTGTCTCTGAAGTGATCACTACTAAAATGTACATAAATAACCCCTTCATTTAAACACATAACAGCTGCTCACTAAAAGTACTGAAATAGTCGTCCAACCTCAACTTGAGCCTGAGGATACTCATCATGTGTCGTTACCGACTATATCATTGCACCATCGTTAGCAATTTCCTATGGAACAACTATTGCCGATGAGAAAATGAAGTACTTCACACAAGTTACAAAAAGGTATACTTAGTTGGATTTACAATGACTGCCTGTCGAAGACGACTAGTAAATATCCCCTTATTGCTCCAACTTAACATCTTAGAAGTGTATGAATGGGTCATTAAACGCAAACCGGTTGACTTCTCACTGAATAGACTATCGAGCAACTGTTAGTACCTTTATTTGAAACACTGCTTGTTGCCGGAATTTACCAGGTAACGTTAGAGTTTTACCTAATTTCTTTTGACGAACCTCCAAGTTCTGTAACTGCAGAATAAAAATATTTTGACAATTAACTTGAATCCGATGTACCTTTTCGCAACAGTTTTGGGAAAATATGATGACCACAGCGACACCTTTATAACCATATTGTGAAATAAGGCACTTGATGTTAGATACAGCTATTGTTTTTATCTTACTAACTAATTATAACTGTCAGATTTCGCAATTTCTACAGTGGGGTTTTTGTTGATGGGTATTTAATCACATGATCATGCTTGACACAGAAAAATGTGAGCGGGTATACGTCACGAGAAGTGGCAATAATGAACATTTTCTTTTAGATGAAACCGATGCCTCTTTTACCTATAGTCAATGCCCCAAAAAGACTGCGTTCTTACAATCTCTGTCAGAAACATCCTACATCCTGAATTCGGAGAGGAAGTTGTTCTTTTAAACAGTGAGGGGATAGAAGGAAATATAATTGACTGTTATACTTTGAGCACAAAAACAGTGATGACGGTTAAGAAAGTAACTTTTAGAGCTCATAATTGCTTATTTTTAAATGGTCTATAATTACTTAAACTTACTAAGTTTGCAAATGAACTACAGTTAGAAACGTTCGACTACCTAGAGTTAACAAACACAGTTGTTCATTTTAGTTGTTCTATAGTATTTAACCTAATTCTTTATTCAACTGCATTAAAACCACATACTTTAGATTGTTCGACTTTAACATTTGGAATTTTATAGATCTGAAAATGTACGGGTTTCTGAAATAACAAAAACCCGAATCCAACATTAGTGCAGTAAATAAAAATATACCTAATATTGTCTCTGTTCACTGAACCTTTGACTTCAGAACCTACTCTTAGTAGTATCAGTATTATGCCAAACGTTATGACTACATATTTACTGTTCGACTATACTCTCGGAAACTATGTATTTTATAACTAAGTAAATAATCCTACATGCTTTCCACTGTGCCAACTTTTATTACTCCACCAGGAGTTTAGCACCTGAAGTACTAGATTAAAATTTCCAACGTTTATTAGTCATTTCGTGGTATCACAGTACGACTGATTTTGGGGACAGATATACACACAAAACACAGTTTAAGTATATCAGTATAACTAAGCCTCGAAATAATCCACTCTAGGAAAAAACGAATATTGCTACATAAACACAAGATAATACCGTACAATAGAAATCACAGAACTATGTAAGTATTAGGCTGTAAGCAGTGACATCAATAAAACTTGATATTTTAAACATCAACAATTTCTTTATAGAAGAAGCCACCAAGTTTTATCCCGAATACGATTGTAATCAAGCATGGTTTCCACTGGACCTGGAATACAGAAAAAAGGAGGTAAGATGGTTTTCGGAACTTCATAATTAAGTCCGGAATATCCGGATTACAGCACACGAATAAATATGACAGAATTGAAACTATACGAAAACTTATCCACTGTAACGGATATGGTTCATATTTAAAATACCATGTTTATTAACTCAAAGCCAATAAAAAATCCTATGGTCTTCGAAATAACGACAAGTCAGGTTTTATTTGGTGTTTCCAGACATAAATCCTTAGCAAACTTACAATAATCTTCGCCGTAGCAGGAGTATCCTTGTAAGACTTATCAACTGCTTGTTAGTAAACAAACCACATTGCCTGATTATTACGAAAACGGCATAATTATCTCGAAATTCCTGTAAGTCAGCGTAAGTTTCATGGAAATAGGCTACGTAAGCCCAGCAAAATATGGGTAAAATTTCGGTCGACTGACTGTAGTTAGTGAATACACATCATCCCATTTTGCACAACTTATTTGCATTTATTGTCCATGTTTCACAAAGCATAAAACCTGAAAGTACTTCAACTCTGCCATGGCCTATTTGCAAATATACGACGGTATGTCAGGAAAAAGAAATCTTTGTTCCGGTCTCATTATTTTAATAAACCCTCTTTGAGAAGCAGTTCATTTACGCTAAGCCATACAAGTCTATCACATTTTGGCAGTACCAGTAGTCCTTAAAACGAAAGTAACTACGTGAAGTAATATGACACTTAGCAATTCAAGAACAAACATTCAGATGACAATATGCTAGTAACTAAAATTTACTGCTTTTATATTTCAGTTGTATAAATAAACCAATAAATATCTAATAAATACACCAGTTCTGATAACTGGAATAATAGTCCAACAGCAAATATAACTATCATATTTGTGTAAGTGAATGCCAACATTTAACAGTACAATTAAATAAATTATGAAGACAGTTACCGATGGACGCGACAGCAGGGCATTTATCAAAGAAGTACTTCATGCATGTTTCCCTAACATGTTCAGCATTGAGCGCCTAGAAAACAAACGTACAGAAAGTATTATATTTAACAAAAATTTCAAAAAAAAACCATCGTATTTACTGTCTAACTTATTTCGTAAAAATAATCATTAATGAAGTTCAAAAGGGTAACTTATACATTTACCAACTGCATATAGTTCAGCTACCAGAAAACTTACTACCGTTTGAACTCTGAAGCAACCATTAATCTTATTTGACCCTACGCTTTATATCTACTGTTTAAATTTTTATAACACCAACCAACCAGCAGAGCATTAGCCTGATGGGTGCATAGGTTTTATATTATTATTTGAACACATATATATTGGTACAATGAGGCATCATATACATATGCGCCACACAAATCTCATTTGATATGTGTGAGGGCTGTGATACTACCCGGGTGCCCAAACCGAAGCAGGTGGTTTTCTTAGGGGGCCACTCCCCGAGCCTTCGACCTGAAGGTCTGATCCACAAGGTAGTGGAGCATCTTAAGAGATCCAGTCCCATGGTAGCCGGTTACCAACGTTTGGTTGATACGCCATTTGTTCCCTCAGGATACTGAAGCCCATGTGCACCATTGGTTTAGAACCAGGGTTTTCCAACTCCCTTAGGTGGACTCTCCATGTCTACCAACCCGGTTAAAGCGCCGGACATTAGCTTTTCGTCTTCTCAAGTTCGCAAACAAAACCCCCACCACGAAAAGGCAATGAATAGAACTTCCCTGGCAGAGGCTATATACGCGTGGCCATGTTAGATCATTTCAAGAGGGAGAGCGGACTCTCCTCACTCTCGGCTGTACCAGGGCATTTGGGGGCAAATAGGAACAATAACGAGTCGGATTTGCATGCATATAGCATGCAAACTTATTTTAATATCTATCTTACTGATATTATTACAAACATCAAGACATTTATGACCAGAAGATATTTCTGAAACCTGTTTTAATTTATTTATTCGAACACAAATATTGGTACAAGAGGGCACCAAATATATATGCGCCACACAAAACAATGAGAATTTAGAGAGAAGGAAAAAAGGTAAGGAGCGTGGAAAAAACGGACAATAACGAACAGATTAGTGTAAGGTAGTGTAATAATAATAACAATGGGGGGAACGAAAAGGTACAATCAGAAGAATTCTTTCAGTTAAGGAAGAAGCAACCACTTTTTACGAAGAAAGTAAAAGAGGGTTACAGCAGGATCGCCACTGGCTTCTATTCTGAGCCATATCTGATAACGTCTCTAGCCACTGTGTTGCACCATCTCTCGGACCCCAACCAGGGAGTCGTGAAGGACCAACACAAGCCAGTCCTTTGCAGCTTTCTTTCATACCACGACACCATGTCATAGACTGACAACCTCTCCGCTTTTTCCAACCAGTCCCAGCGTCGGCAAATAATGCACGACGTGGAATTCTCTGGGACGACATTCGTAGAACATGTCCAAGCCACCGAAGTCGGTGTTTCAGGATGGTGACACCAATTAGATTATCGTCTCTGTACCCGAACACACGATGCCGAACCTCTGCATTACTGACATGGTGTTGCCACTGAATGTCAGCAATCCTTCGGAGACAACGATGATCGAACACAGAAAGTCGTCCAACGTCATCAACTCGGAGAGACCAGGTTTCACAAGCATAGAGTAAAACTGCTCTCACCGACGCGTTGTAGATCCGACCTTCTACAGCCAGACTAACATCACGAAGGCGCCAAAGGTGGCCCAGATTGACATAAGCCGCTCTGGCTTTCACTATACGTGCATTGATCTCATCACTCACGCCACCACCAGCACTTATGCGGAGGGTGAAGATATGATCAATACATCCTCGACCAGAACGAAACCCAGCCTGCTCCTCGCGAGTCAATCTTTCTCGGGTTTTGAACAACCTACGAAGTATGACGAAAGCCAATAGCTTGGACGCAATCGGAAGTAGACTTATCCCCCAAAAGTTGTTACAGGAACGACGTGAACCCTATTTAAAGATAAGGACAACTACCAACTCATTGCATGACGATGGTACACTCTCTAGCTCCCAGACCTTTGTAAACAACGTCGTCAGTTCCTTAATCAGAAAGTCACCACCATCTTTAAAAAGAGCCGGAGGTAAGTTATCTGGGCCCGGTGGTTTGTAGCGCTTCAAGAGTTGGAGTTCCTTGCGCACTTCCGCCTCATTTGGTGTATCAGTCGTCACCGGCCATGAAGAGCAGGACAGTTGAACTGCCCTTCGAAGAATTCTGCTCATCGTACAAGACGCCGATGGATGTTAGTGATTGGCATCCCGTCATCCTCACAGATGATCTCGCTCACACCAGACTTCTTGCTGCCAGTGGCTTGGATGAGTTGAAAGAGCTCCCGGTAGTTACCACATGCAGCTGCTGCTTCCAGCTCATTAGCACGCTCCGACCACCAGGCTTCTCGGTCCTTACGCAAGCTTTGCCCGATTTCATTATGTAACATCCTTCGTTTGTGGCCCAACACACGGTTACCCGGAGTAGACCGATGGGCTTCGATGAGTTGTAAGGAGCCTGAAGAAACCCAGTGCTTATAAGCGGGACGTTTCGCGAACCTGCAAACGGCTTTACTCTCCATTTTCATGGCGTCATGCAATTGCAACCAATGCTCATCTATACTTTTCGGTGGAATGGTAGCTAGCCTAGAAGCTAGTTCGGTTCGATACTTACTTGCAACAGAAGTTGCAACCAACTTGCTGACATCAATCCTTTGATGGTGGTTACTTCGTTGTCCACTGAAAAGTAAGGTAAGTTTGGCGCAGACCAAGGCATGATCAGAGTCCAGATAGGTACTCCAAAAGGAGCGGCAGTCTTGTACACAACCACGCCAGCGGTAGCTGATCTCGATGTGACCAATCTGAGTCCAGGCTTGAGATGCAGAGGGAGGACGCCAGGTGGCACATCGGCGATGACTATGCCGAAAGTTATTGTTAGCCAGAAACAGGTTGTGGTCTGTGCAGAGTTGCAGTAGACGGTCCCCGTTATCTGTCCTGTGACCAACAAGTCCCCATCGGCCACCTAAACGACCCTCTTCTGTGCCTAGACGCCCGACCTGAGCATTCAAGTCTCCGGCTAGTACTACAATATCTGTCGAACGCACTTTCTGGAGAAGAACAGATAACTGGTGGTAGAAACCAGTTATAAAAAGACCAGTATAAAAAATATTGTGAACTCACTACTATGATCAGAAACTAAGCAAAATGAAGTACAACATTGGTAAACCTGTATTTCTTCTTTTTCTTTACTTAAAATGAACGGCATTCATATATGTGCTATTGTAACTGATAAAGAATAATTAGAGGGATCACAATTGGTGATAATTTTACAATGACTGATTTGATAAATGGTTCTTGACACATTGGTTACAGTCCATATTTTTTATCAGAAAATGACAAATAATGCAGACGATGAAGTGAAACTAACAGACTACAGACGGAATGTCAGGGAAAATCAACTACTCAAGTTCGTAAGCTTTGTACGAGATCCTCAAATGAGTTTATCTTACAAAACTTGCTCATTCTATATATAAATATAAACTAACTGAAAATGGTTTGAGAAAAGTCATTACATTGCTGTCAGTTTAACAATATGTAGAATCATGGACAGAATGAAGTTTTAACAGAGAAAATAAGTAAACAAACTTTTAGTTATTAACATAATTAAGCCAAATAGGAGTTAAGTTGACAACCCAGGAAGAAAGCAATTTCGATACAAAGCTAATAAGGAAATGCCAAGTACGTTAAGTCTAACTTACGTCAATTCTGGCTAGCAATTCAGTTATAGGTATACGACGACCATACACCAACATGTGCCGACCAATTTCTTCACAAATAGGTGTAGTGCCATCTAACTGCAAAAGGAGATGTGTTTTCAATTGGTTCTTCGCTCTGTCGATTTCATGCTGAGTAACCTGAGTACACATACGGACAAATTCTTTAAGGAATTCTCCAACAGATTCACCCAAACCCATCTTTTCTGCTGTTAAGTAAACTCCCCTAAAAATTTCGGGACGAGTAGTGAGATATATAACTACAGGCTAACTTATAAAAGTAAAAAGGAAAGTATTACGCGTGCGAAGAAAAAGTACGATGAATATTGAGAAACGTATGTATCGTAAATAAAAATGTTTTTAATACCCCAATGAGTAGAAAACTTACGTTCTCTGAAGTGGTTTATACTGAGTCACGAAACGTTAGAAAATCTATGTTTCCTACTCTTTGGAATATCACAAATATACTATTTTTATCTATAACAATCTACCCAATGCGCAATCTATTTGAAATTATCAAGTTAAACCTTGGCAATGATACCAACATATGTATTGATTGGTTCACAAAATTAAACATGTGCCTTGATAAAAAAGGCTTGTAGAAACATAACTCACATTAAGGAACATCTATTTCATAAGCCGTGTCGTGTAAATGAAGACATTTAGCGGTAACACAAACATAATCCTTAAGGTAAGTTGGCGAAAATCAGGAGAGAGTTTTCTATTCGTCTCGAAGTGGACTACGACCCACCAGAGCTGATAGGACTACTCAAGTATCTCAGGTGATTGCCACGCTTAACTACATCTTCTGCACCAAACTAGACATTAATCCAGACCAGTCCATGAGTAAGTCTATCTTTAAATCCATTTAGACTAATTCACTAGCCTTTTGGGTTTTACCCGAATTGTCATATCAGACGCGTAGTTAAAACGTGACGAAGTAAATGGTGATATTTGCATTTGGTTGATGGACACAATCATGTACAGTGACCTAGCAACTGAGGGTACTATGACTAACCCACAAAACTCAAAGAAGATTCATATCAAATGCAATCCCTGACACCATGGTTTCTGAAAAATTTCAATTATTAAGAAATGCAATGCAAAGAAGCTCAAGACTAACCACACTAGTCAGTCACACGAAGCAAAGTGTCTGATCACATTAACCAATTGACACACTGATATAAAAAACCTAAAATCATATCCCATACGATTATATCAGATATATTTTGCACATCGTTCTTCGTTGCACCGAAAATTACTTTTACATCTGTTTTTAATACTCAGTTTTTGTGTTGGTAAGGAATGTTACAACATAAGTCTGAGTACATTTGAAACTGATCCCACTTTGTTCGCTTCGAACCTGAAATTTTCTGCAACATTGATCGAAGCTTTGTGGTTTAGAGATCAATAGCTTCTGGTGGGAATTGAGAAGTATACAATGAGAGACGAATACTTTCTTCATTCATAAATGACTCAATTAATAAATTAGAGCAGGAAGTTTGGCTAAGAATAGCTGGGATAACTGCGTAGAGTTACTGTATAGTCTGCGACTATCCTACACAGTTCGAAGCTGATTCTAAAATCCGGTTAGGTACTTGCTACATTGTACAATATTTGTCACTTATTTTAGTTCCTGTCATCCTTAGTCGATTTCCTTTCTTCATGTGGACATGAAATTTCGCAACAATAAGCAATATATTTCTTGTTGAATTATTGCTAACAACATTTGACAATGCATATTTCAACTATATAAATAACGTTGTTATGGGTTTAATTTAACTTAATGGATCCAAAACATTACTAACCATAAAGAAGTATCATGGTAGCAAGTAAAGAAATGCTGGAAACTGTGTACCGAATTTTCCATAAAAAACTTGGAGGCCAGCTTGCTGGCAACATTAAATCCTCCCCCATAACTTCTATCCCAAGCACCATGCAGACTGCTTGCAACCATCAGTGCTAATGTGTCTGAACTTTGCCAACCAGGACCCTCGAACGCTATCGCAGCATGAGCTACTGGCATAGCATCGTCTCTGTCACGAATTTCAGAGCCTGTAAAACGACAGCGTTGTATGCTTGGTACCCCTTCGCCTTCCTGATAAGATGCCTGGAGATCGCCAAAATGTTTCTCCGCGAGGTCGCATAGTTGCTTATGGTCGACTCCTGAAATATTAGCTTGAAATAATCCTTCAAATACCTCCTGCAGCGCTGAGCACCATTCGTGGTGCTTTATAGTTCTGTTTGATAAAATTCTTCATATCACTGGCTTTCAAAGATTTGACATTTTCTACAGGTCCAAGAATCGTTCTCCCGAGAGGTGTCCCTTGATAAGCAGTTGCATGCAGGTAATCAAAGACGACCTCCTGGTAATTACTCTCAATTTCCTACAAACTTATCAAACAAGATTAAACAGACCTCCATTTCCCGTAAAATGACCCCTCTTTCACGTTCAACCTGACTGTTCTCAAACTTGCTGTTCTTTAATATATCCGATAATAATTCAACCGCTATGTAGTACATATTTAAATATTATAAACCGTACCCCAAGGTAGATCCTCAACAAAACATTTCGCATAATACACCGTCATCTCACGAGATGTGTATGCATTCAAATGAGCACCTTTGTTTTCCACTTCAAGTTCTAAAGACTGTTGACTCCTCTTTTCAGTCCCCTTGAAAGCCATATGCTCAAGGAAATGAGCCACACCATTATTAGATTCTGTCTCATATCGACTACCGACGTCCACCCAAACGCCAACCTAAAATCGAGTAAAACCATTGTAGGGTTACAAACCGTGCATGTAGGAGTATTCCAGTTCTCAGAAGCTATCCGAAAACCGTTACTTCCCAAAGTAGTCACCTTAGTCTCTGGCATATGAACCGTTTCAAACAAAGGGACATATTTAGTGGCTGACCCGATTTTCCTATGACGTATCTAGAAATATGTGTTACGCATTGTTGGAAGTGAAAATATACTGAGGAGATTATTGGACTCAGTCTACGTGAAGCAAGTCGAAGTGCCATACCAAACAGGTAACGAATAAATTTGTAATGTTACACTTCGGAAACACCACAATATTCAATATATTCGTAAAGAGCCGATTTGGACCAGTTGATTTTTTCTCCCTTATGTCCAGATATTGTAGACAGGCGCCAAATTTTCAGCATCGTCCCATAAGCCTGGTCGAATAACTACAATAGTGTAGAGGTAAATAAACCCCCAATCAATAGCTCTGTAAATCTTCGACATTGGATGCTGACCACATTAGTTTTAATGGACTCGCCCACCTGAAGGCGCTCGGTCATGCATCCGCACCAGATCACGAGTGGGAACGCCGTGCCCAACAACTCCTTCAATCTGGTTAGCAGATTAGATCAGTGGATTCTCGATATATTGATAGCATGTCAAATATATCTTCTAACCTCCCCGCTTCTGTCTTTTGATTGTACTTGGTAGGTACGATTCACACTAGGTGTTACTGGTTAAATCATTGCCAAACTCCGAATACCTGTGACGTCTCCATTGGTGAGCCCGACGTGATCTGGTACACCAAGTCATAAACTGTGAGTCTGTTCTATTTTGGAATTCTGTATATCATTGCTATAACTCAACAATCATATATTGTGATATATTTTCGTGTTTTTGGTTATATATATGTATATATTACTCATTCATTCCCGAACGTGATATTTCACGATGACGGAACAGACACCCAAAGTACTTAGGCTTAAGACTATGTCCCCACCTTCGTTCCAACTAATGTCATACACTTCACATCCCCACAATCTGGACCTTGTTTCAGAACGACTGCGAAAACATCGCGTTACTGTAAACATCCGGAAATGTCAAATTTGAATCGACTCCTTAGATTTCCTAGGACACACTAATAATATGCAAGGCATTCGACCTCTAAAAAGCAAACTCGCGGTCATGTTGGATTATACAGAACCGACCACTATCAAGTAATTACGCAGGTTTAACAGCCTTGTAAGTTTCCATAGACGTTTCATACCGAAATGCGCATTACTCATGAAACCTCTGACCGACCAACTTCGTGGAAATGCAAAATCCATCACTTTAGATGACACCACAAGAAAAGCATTCTCCACAGTTGAGGAACATGTCGCTAAAGCAACAATGATTGCAGATCAGGACAATTAACCACTCGTGAGTCTCGACAACTGGACTGCATTTCGCAGTTCACTTCAGACATCCAACACATTTCTGGAGCAAACAATGTAGTCGCAGACGCCTTATCTCGAATAACTTCCTTGAACAGTTTCCAAGGAATCGACCTTCTTAAACTCGCCCAGCTTCAAAAAGAAGACACTGATCTTCAGCACGAGTCATCGTCCACAACACTTAAACTACGCATCAAACGGATGGGAACAGGTAAGGAAACCTTACTTTGTGACACATCTACAGATAGGGATCGCCCAATCGTGCCGAAACATTATCGACGCAATGTCTTCAATACATTGCACAAACTTTCTCATCCAGGTGTCCGTGCAACCATCAAACTTATAGCAGAACGGTTTTGCTGGCCTGGAATGAATAAAGACGTGAGGGAGTGGGCACGCTACCGTGTAGGCTGCCAAAAATCTAAGGTTATCAGACACAATAAATGTCCCTTAGGCTCATTTAAAACTCCCGATGCTCGTTTCGACCATGTTCATCTGGATTTGGTAGGACCTTTACCAGATTCAAATGGATACTCTTATCTCTTGACCTCCGTCGACCGTTTCACTCGGTGGCCAGAAGCAGTACTTATCAAGGACATCACTACTGAAACAGTGGCCCGCACCTTCGTCGAACGATGGGTAGCAAACTTCGGCTGTCGTTCAACCATCACTACAGACCGCGGACGTCAGTTCGAATCCGAAATTTTCCGTTGTCCGACCACACTATTAGGGACCACTCGCTTCCGAACGACGGCCTACCACCCACAAGCAAACGGGTTAGTAGAACGCTTTCGCTGGCAAATAAAAGCTTCATCATCAGCTGCAAACATTTCTCAGTGGACTAACGCTTTTGCACTCGTCTTACTAGGTATTCGCAATGCAGTGAAAGCTGACAATGGATACTCTACGGCTCAGCTCGTTTATGGAATGACACTTCGACTTTCAGGAGAATTCGTGGATCCTTCATCCTCTTCAATGAACATGGATCTAACCTCCTACACGAACAGGCTTACAAACGCAATGCGTTCAGTTAAACCTGTTTCCGCAGTCAACTGACGTTTTTGTTCAACCTGATTTACGATATAGTACACACGTTTTCGTTCGTCGAGACTCGCATCGACGACCTTTCGAATCAGCATACGAGGGACCATATAGTCGATAAGAACGGAACTGACTATGGCATCAGCATCGACCGCATCAAACGACGTATTTTGAAGGAAACCCTATGCATGTCGATTTTCCTTCGGTACAACCGAAAGACACTACTAATACACTCATGATACCTCATCTGATAGCCAACACACACGAGGATGCTTTGGCAGTAACAGAAAATAGACTCAAAACAACGAGTTCTGGAAGAAGAGTAAGATTTCCAGAACGTCTGAACGATCATTTCACGTGCGACACTAGTAAACGTTTTGTTTCGTCTCAGTTTTTCTTTGTATTATATATAATATAAAAAACAATTTTAATATGCTTACATTTGTACATTTTTCAAAACGTTTTCTGGTAATATATGTGTATTAAAACTCTTCTAAACAAAAATAAAAGCAAGCATTCTGTAAAAATCGTTTTTTTTTACGCCGTCGCATGTGTATGAGTTTCCCTTTTTTCACTCGTTTTGTGTCTTTACCGGCGTACAAGTGTCTTTCGACATGCAATAACATATCCCTTTCTTCTTTTCCAGGACGGCTTGAAACGAAAATAAAGGGTCGACGAATTTACGATGAACCGAACTTTTCATTGTACCTTGTTTCTTTATTACTATGTTGTACTACATGATCCCTTGTGGTAAGAAAAGATGACCGGACGCTGCGAAGCATAGCAAGCCATCAGAGGAGTGTTTACCAACGACAAGCTCGTTGGGCTTAAACTTCTGGTTGCCCATGTCTTAGGGTCATTACTACCCTACTAGGGGGCAGTGGTTTGTAGCGGTAAATAAATCCCTAAAATCAACAGCTCGCTAAGTCTTCGACATTGGATGCTGACCACATACGTTTTAGTGGACTCACGTAACTGAAGGCGCATCCGCACCAGATCACGAGTGGGAACACCGTACTCAACATCCCCTTCAACTGTTTGCCAGATTAGATCAGTCGATGCACGATATATTGATAACCTAAATCGATTTGGGCTCTCCATCATTCAACGCGGCTAATCGTTGCTAGTGATTAATGGCATTACAAAATCATATTATGTTTGGGCAGTAATGTGGTCGAGTAAATCTCTCTGCACTAAAATAAACCGTGTTAAAACTAACAGGCCAACTGGAGCACTAGCGTGCAATCTAATCGTGGTGAAATAACATTATCGTTGTAAAGGCGGAGTTCGACTAATATAACATGACCACATTCAAATTCGGCTTTACTGCATATGGAGTTCTGAACTAATTTACTGAAAGCACATGACACTGGGCTGTAGTTTGAAAATAGTGACTCACTATCAACACCTGACAATTGTAGAACAGGAATAAAGGCACAAATAGTCCTCAGATATTGTATCTATTCATATTTCCGTGTCCAGTTTACATGCATGCACACTTGGTTGCGTTGAAAGGTACTAACCACAATTTAGGTCGGGTAACCAGAAAAAATATTTCTTCCCGTGGTGCTCACTTGTCTGCATATCCTGTTCCTTCTCGTCGGATTTCGCTGTTATCAGTGTATGGCAGCATTTGGAACTTAACAATATGTGGACGATAATTACACAAGCATGAAAAGAAAATGACCTAGAGCGGAGCCCTGAGGTATTCCACTAAGCTTTAGTTTTCATTGGGAGCATTGGGAATGTATTTTGCCTTAGAAGAGGCACAGAAGTTCATAGATTTTTCGGATTGAGTAGGGTCTGATTATGCTTTGCTGAAGGCAACATTGACTAAGTACACTAAATATGTTTAATCAGACGGCTTTGTACATCTCTTTCTTAATGTAAGGAGGTTAGTCGTGTATGACAATCCTCCATAGAAACCGTGTTTTTCGCCGTCTCGCAATTTCTCAGTTTCCACTGTCATAATCGTTTTTCAGCGATTCCTACCAATATCTGAACTATCATACCGATGAGGCTGACAGATTTGTAGTTTAGAGATTATCCCGTGACTCTAGAATGTGACTCATTCGATTCTGTCGATTTTTCCGTGTTCAAGGTGTACGGCATCTTTGGCATCCCGTCTTGGCTGAAGTTCACTGTGAATGGTATTGCTCCTCGCGCTAGTCCTTCGTTGAGAAGAGGCTCACTGGTGAAACCTGACACGGAGTGATGATCTATAATTTAGTGTTGGTGTTAGTTTCCTTTTACTAATTAATCCATGTAAATATCGTGCCGTTGGCCGACGTACACTCCACTGCAATCATATTTGGATCCGGAGTAATAATGATCAAGTCAAGACACGAAGCATTATTGGATAAGGTTTATTTCAAGAAGGCTTTTCCTCTAGCCAAGCAACTGTCCAGACGGAGAGAACAAATTAACGTGTTAATTTATGTACGACCCAAATGTAAGATCCAAACTAAGGTTTGGACTGAAGGACAGCTGACTAGGTGGGTTAGATACGCGCCCTTGCTCGTTTGAAACCAAAACAAAGTAATTGGGTAAGATGACGGCTCTATAATTCATCATAAATTCAATTGTATATTGTTACCTAAACAAATATGACCGCTCAGCTATCCAACCAATAATTGTTCAATTAATCAGATTTAAATTACAATAAATAAGGAAGTTGATATAGGATGCAAGAAAGTTACCAATCACAACAAAGAAATGTTATTCTATCCTGTCTCGATAGACCACGCACAGATTCGTTCAAAAGATAATATTTGGTTGCTTTGTAACACAGTGTTTCCAATTCTGGAAGGGTGCTTCAATTCACAACCAAAAATGCACTATTCCAGTCAACACAGGCAACGCGATCAAAAGGAGGGACAAACCAATATGGCTGCCGCCAAGACTAAGTATAAAGTAAAACAACATAAGTGCAGTTCGGGAAGAAACACGGAGACTTAGTGAAGGCGTAATAAAAATAAAAACTATGATAAAACACAAGTATTAACAATTCATACGTAATCAAA